GATTTACCCCACCCACCTCCCCCTTCAAATGCCTAGAACTAAAAAAACGAAGAATGGAACCAGATTCCGAGGAAGGTCATGAAATCTAAGTCTCCATCCAGCTCACCAGTAGTTACCCAAATGGAGTAGAAGATAACAGGCTATGGGGGCGGGGGTGTACAGTTTCCATGACAACAAGCTGGCTCAGGCAGTTTCTCCCACAAATCAGCATTTACAATAGAATTCTTCGCAAGGCTGAAAAGGGAGGAGGAGAAAACACATCTTGGTGCCCAAGAGCATGCGCACATTGAACAAGCCTGTATCAAAAGCAGAACCCATCACGGGAGTCCCAGCAAAAGCTTCAGAGACCCCGTGGCAGAAGGCGGGAGGGCAGTCACTGTTCTCTTTTTTTTCCTCCCACAGAGGATCAGTTCTCTTTATAATGAAACAAAAGCTTCCAGAATCAAGATCTGTTTCTATGTTTAAAGGAATAAGGGGGGCCGGCCCCGTGGCTTAGCGGTTAAGTGCGCGCGCTCTGATGCTGGCGGCCCGGGTTCGGATCCCGGGAGCGCCCCAAGGCACCACTTCTCCGTCCAACGCGAGGCCGAGTCCCACGTACAGCAACTAGAAGGATGTGAACCTATGACGTACAACTATCTACTGGGGCTTTGGGGGGAAAAAACTGAATAAATAAAATCTTTAAAGGAATAAGGGAAGACACTTGACCTTTCCTTCAAGCTAGAACCTATGTACAATGCCTGTCCCTTTCAGGTTAATCAAGTCAAACCAAGAGATTGAGTGGGACTAACTTCTGCAAACCAGAATGGGAAGCAGGGCCCCAGGAAACATTTACCTTTATGCTATTTTAACCACCCTAGGTTTAGCATGCCCAGATGTAGTTTTGATCTTTCAGCCCACCCGCCTCTGCCCAGCTTGGAGGATACACTCTGAGTTCTTCCTTCAGGTAATAATAGGATTCTCCACTGTCCAGGAAGCAAAGATCCCAAGGCAGGTAGGGGGAACACAGCAGCAATTCAGTCACATTAGAAGATGGCTGACAACAGCTTCAGCTATGAAATGAGTTTGGTTTAAATGCTACCATTCTCCACACCGAAGAGATTTCCCAAGCACGCCACACCCCTCAGGGCAAGAAAGTGACAGGGCACTGGTGCTGGGAGGCAGATCAGGGCCAAGACAGAAGGGCATGAGCCTAAATCTTGCATTCTACTTCTCTGGGGTTTCTGTTTTTAGACAAAAGCCACAGATGAAATTCAAAGGAAACGAGTAATGGAAAAGTTAGGCTTGAGCCCTGTGAGTAAATGACTGCTTCAGTTCCTGTGTTCACAAATGTATCTACCCAGGGAGATACTGTGTCCTTGGGGACTTTAAATTTCACCAAGGGGGAGGCAGGGAATAGAGCTTTCTGCCCCAGAGTAAACAAAGGTGGAGTCTAAGGTAGGCACTCAGAGCAAAGGGCTATTTGCCTCTCCCCTCCGAATGTGTGCTGGTGCGAGGGGAAGAAAAGGTAATCAGCAGGAAAGCAAAACTAAACCAAAGAAAGGTGATAAAACCTGTTGCTTAGTCCTCCAGATCCCACAAATAGGAGGGAGCCACACAACACTGAGACATCCTAGGCCCCTCCAGAAACTAGGAATTCGGGAATAAGGCCAGAATCAAAACTGCTGTTCAAAGCCCACTCACTCCCTCAACAGTACTTCTAAATTTTTTAGACCAGAAAAAAAGAAAAAGAGAGAAATGCCAGGTGGAGGTAAGAGAGAGGTATTAAAAACAGATAAATTGAACTGTACACTAAAAATGGTTGAAATGGTAAATTTTTATGTTATGTGTATTTTTACCACCACCACCACCACAAAAAACAGATAAGGAAAAAGACTGCATTTAAATATCATGTTGCCATCTGTTAAGCTTTAGCAAGAAGTGCAAAGGAGATTCAAAATCAAAAGTGGATTTGACAAGGTGCTATATTATAAAAGGTCAGTCTCCACGCCAAAAGCAGAAAAGAAAGATGAATCCCAGAACAACTCCAGAGTCTCAACTTTGGACCCATCCAGCTTCCCAACAAGTGTTGGATGTTCACACAAAGCAACCAGAAAAATAATTAAGCGACAATCCCACTAACAGCACGCGATACCATCAGGGAGTGCTGAGCTTCCGGCCCCAGAGGGAGGAGCCTGCAAAACCCACATTCCAGAATGCCCTAAGAGGATAACAGGTAGCCCAGGCGACCCCTCCCTTCCCACGGGTGTCTCCTCCTCAGGAAGGGTTCAAAGTTCACTAGAATAGAAAGTCAAAAGATTAGGCTCCCTCAAGCTGGGGAGTAGAAGATATTGGTTTCATCAATATTTAACTATCACCCTACTTCCCCATCTGAGGTCTTCCTCACTCGACCTCAGCTCAGTAAGCAAATCTGCAGGCCCTGAGGGAGTAGCTCAAGAAACATCTGAAGCTGTTCATTCTGCTGCCTAGCACCCCAGAGTCAGCAAGGTGGGAAAAAAAGGAACCATATTTTTCTGCAAGGAAAATTACCAAATCCTGGGGGGTGTGGAGGGCAATGTGACATCATGTGCCCTAGAACTATTCCTAGGATGCACATACTTAAACTTTGAGCCTAAGACTCTGCAGCTCAACACATGGCTAGTTCCTTCAGCCATCCTCTGTCTTCTCCTTTAAGGGAATCCGGTCTCCAGAACAAAGGAAATGAGAAAGTGTCACTAGTCATAAAGAGTCACCCAGCCAGTCCATCTCACTTGAATTGATAAATTAGAAGTTACCGGCATAATGAACAGAGGAAAAATCCACTGAGAAAGAGGTGACTGAGGAAGACAAGCTCCCAGCATTTCCACGTCCAGTTATAAAAAGAAATGAGTATTCTAACAACCTTTAAGTAAGTATTAAGCTGGTGGGCAACCGCCATACCCCTTTCCCCCCAAAACATTAATTCTCAGCCACTCCCCAGAGGAGCAGCCAAAAAGGAAAAAAAAAAAAAAAAAAAAAAACTTACCAAGGGAAAGAACAACAAGGAATACCAATAACCCACAAGAGTTCTTTCATTAGGTCTCAAATTTTAGCAACTGTTACTTTCCTCTCCAGCCTCAAGAGCCTCCAAAACCAAAGCCTCAACTTAGGAGATCAGCTCCACCCACTAGACTGCACCCTAGACCTTGGAAAATCTTATGGCTTACTAAAACTAGTCGACCACTTCGAAACAGAAAGCAGTTTCAAGAATCACCATTCATTCCATCAACATTTTATGTTCCAAGTTTCAGTTGAACAAATATTTAATGAACTTAAAAAAAAAAAAAAAGACACTGGTGGATGATAATTGGGAAAGTAGCGGAGTAACATCACTAGAGGTCCCTCGGGACTCATTATTCTGTCTCTATCAACTACATTGCCTGGTCAACCAGAAACCTTGACAGAAATTGGCACTAGTTCATCCGACTCTCTGCCAGATACACTCGCTTATCAGTTCTGCTTGGAAGTGTTCTTAACTGGTTCAGCTTGCAGTGATCACACTTCAGCAATAAAGGCCTGAATCTGGCAGAAAGTTTCTGCTTTCCAGGTCATCATGGATAGACCCAGACAAGTTTTGTTGCCTCCTACATTTGCATTAACATGGGGAGTGAAAATACCATCTCCTCCCCTCCGCTTCACGTGCATTGAGAGAGTGGGTTTAGCAGTTGCATGGGCTCCCCGTAAGAGGAAAGGGCCCCAGGCCGGAGGACGGGAGGCGGTGCTGTGGCCTCAACCTCCTCCAGGGAGGGCACCGCGCTTCCTCTCAGTCGACTGCTGCCTCATTTCCTGAGCAGGAGGAGGGAGCGGAAAAGCCGCCAGCAGGCCAGGCCGGGGGCTTTCCGGCGGTTCCCACCCCCCACCCTCCACCCTCTCACACTAAGTTCAGCCCTGCCCCTCCCAGACCAGAGAAGCACCCACCTACTCTTACCCCTTGGGCCGGAAACCTCAAAAGAGCAAAGCCTCCGCCCCCCCGCCCCAGTTCATGGGGAAGTGGGGGAGGGAGAGGCCGCTGAGCCCCTCCCCCGGCCGCGCCCGGCTCCGAGGGACTGAATGAATGGGCTGGGAGAAAAGAGGAGGAGAAAAACCACTCCCCAGATCCCGTGGGGCTCAATTCCTTCAAAGGTAAAGCCTACTCGGCCGAGCGCCCATTCCCCTCTCGCCCGCTTGATGTCCAAACGAAGCTAAGCCCCACCCATCCTCCAGACTTCAACTTCATCTCTGAGTCTGTCGGCCCCCTCAGTACTGTGCTCCATCGCAAAAAAAGGGACCCAGTCCGGGGTCCCGGCTACTCCAGCACCTGCCCCTCCCTCAAGCGCCTCGCCCTCTCGTACCTGTTCCCGGGCCCGCCTTTCTCCCTCCACTTCCCGCTGGAGGCGCTCGGCCCTCTCCTCTGCATCATCGGCCTGCTGCTGCAGAACCTGAATCTTACGCTTCACCGCCTCGATGGTGGTGGTCCCGGCCATGGTGCCCACCCAGCTCCTGCTCGCGCTCGGAATCCTGCCTCCTCCGCTCGGCGTTGCAGCCGCCTCTCACCCCTACTTCCGCCTGCTCCGCCCTGAAATACCGGAACTCACCCACCCGCCCGGATGTGACGCCACGGCCGCCGCGCCCTCCCACCGCCAGGCAGGCGGGAAGGCTGTCCACTGGAGGGAGACCGGCGGCGGGGAGCGAGGGGCGGGCCCTCGCAGTCGCCCTAGGCGACGGCTCCCGGCCTTTCCCTTGGGCCAGTAAAGGGGGGCGGGGTTGGGAAGAGGGAGGGCTACCATGGTTACCAGAAGGCGCGTGTGGTCTAGCCTCTCCCGCTAGGCAGGCTGCCACAATGGTTGGCCTACAAGTAGTATGCCGCCCTTACACTCCCGCAGTTGACCCCTCACTCTCCCAATGCTCACCCGCCACCACCTACCCGCTAGGGTACCTGGTGTCGTCTCTACAAGATAAACATCCTACAAGCCTCTGCTTCCACCCACACACACAGGCACCAAAACCAGGTGTTAAGAAAAGCCTAGACTTTCTGGGCCTCATCTTCAAAAGAATTCCACTCTGCAGCCTCCTCTCAAAGTCTGCTCAGGTAGGTTCTCTCCCATCTCCTGAAAGTCAATGAAGAGAATTAGGGGGTGAAGAGATGGGCAGGTTGGTAAAGTTCTCATTCTATTTGGCATCAGTTATGAACTTGTGTTCTACTTAGAATACTGGTCTTTTCTCCTGTTTTGTGTGTGTGTGTGTGTGTGTGTGAGGAAGATCAGCCCTGAGCTAACATACATGCCAATCCTCCTCTTTTTGCTGAGGAAGACCGGTCCTGAGCTAACATCTATTGCCAATCCTCCTCCTTTTTTTCCCTCTTTTCTCCCCAAAGCCCCAGTAGATAGTTGTACGTCATAGTTGCACATCCCTCTAGTTGCTGTATGTGGGACGCCACCCGAGCGTGGCCAGACAAGTGGTGTGTCGGTGCGCGCCCGGGATTGGAACCCGGGCGGCCAGGAGCGGAGCGCGCGCACTTAACCGATAAGCCAGGGGGGGGCGCCTTCTGTTACTGTTGAGAGGCAGTATGCACTAGCGATTTACCAACCTACCAGCCCCTCCAAACCTTGAATGATTCGGGACTTGGTAATTAATCATTGCTTACAATTCCTTTTGTAGGTGAGGGAGATATCTTACACCCTCATTTCATCAGGAAAGAATCCTCTATTACGGACTGCTGTTACCAGATCCTTTGAGCAACAAACAAAGATATGCATGCCTGGAAAACTGTACTATGGAACTGAGCCTCCATTCTGTGTTATAACTTTCACCAATTTCACTGCCACTTCTGCTTCCAGGTACCCCAAGGAGCTATTTATGAGTTAGAAACTATCCCTACAGGCATTGCCATGCAGTATTTTTGGAAGCGCAGTAGTAAAGAGACTTGAGAATTTATCATCTTCCCTCTTATTTCTTTGTATTCCTCCCACTTTCCCAGTAAGTAATGGTAATAAATCTCGCCTCTGGTGTAACTCTCTTTTCTCCTAGAGAATTAGAGTGTGGGACAGAATTTAGAATTAATAATCCTAACCCCTGAAAGATGGGTAGGTAAGACAGATGCTGCCCTCAATGCCTAGTTCTGAGGACACTCCCTCCAGAGGCTCTGTCTTCCTATCTCCTTTTAGAAATACTAAACAATGAGACTATTCAGAGGAAACAACTCAGACAATAAGTAATTTGCTTGGTAGAGTAACCTACCTGTACACTTTGATTTTTTCCCCCAAGAATTGGGAAGGAAAAGCAGGGGTCAAAGCCTCAGGAAACTTTACCCTAATGGCCTAAGAATTTTTCCGACTCTCTGGGGAAGTCTGATCAGAGGGACTGTGGAAGCAGAAATGAGTCTGTCATCTGGGTGTTGATCAGCAGGGGGCACTGTTGCACCCTCACTTGCTCTAGTGAAGAAGATGACCTCATCTTAGACAAACCAAAGGGGTGTTGAGAACACCACTGCATTCCTGAGGCTGGTAGGTTTGAACAGATAATCTTCTCTTGATCCAGGGAAACAGGTGGATTGACTCCTGATAGCCTTTAAAAAAGCATGATGGATGGGCAGCAAGGGGCCCAGCACTATTGTTTTCCTGGTGACCAACAGTACAACAACATATCAACAGGTGTATATGTCCATCCCTGTCCCTCCTTCCCCCATCCTTCCCAACTCCTGTCCTTAAAAAAGGGTGTTATAATTCTATGTCCTACCCATTGCACTCCTCTTTCCCCTTGTTTTACTCTAAACAGTTTCTGATTTCATCTCGGATTGAAAGTACCTTAGATATGGTTGCACAAAAATGTGAATGTTCTTATGCCACTGAACTGTACACTTAAAAATGGTTAAAATGGCACATTTTATGTTATATATATTTTGCCACAATTTAAAAAAAAACAAAGGACCTTAGACAAACACAGGAGTAAAAAAATGAAGTTTGGACTGACCTTGCCATACCCTTGCCCTTTCTTTGTTCAAGCAATCCTCGCAAATCCTACGCTTTCCAGAAAGGCTTCTCAGATAACCAGAACTCTCTGTGTAAACATGCAGTTACTGACTGCCTCCTCCCTCTCTTCCCCTTATATCTACATCAAAGTAATATGCTCTGTCTACTTGTTTATTAATCTCAAGGGCAAAAGCTGAGCTGTGAACCTCCTTCATACTGGACAGAGCACCCTCCCCCCAAAGATGCATATATTATGTTGCTGATGACTCTGACCCTTGCTGTCTACTTTAAACCTTGTTGCCTCCTCCTTATTCAGTGCTTTTCCCAATTCCTATAGACATCCCACTTTCCTTCTTTGACCCGTTGAGGCAGGAGTCAGCAAACTTTTTCTGTAAAGGGCTGGATAGTAAATATTTTTGGCTTTGTGAGCCATAGGGTGTGGCAACTACTCCAGGTAGGGAGAAAGCCAGTAGACAATATGTAACTGAATGGGCATGGCAATGTTCCAGTAAAACTTTGTACAAAACCAGGCTGTGGCAAGATTTACCCCACAGGTGATAGTTTGCTGACTACTAAGCTTTGAGAAAACCTTTCTTCCTGCTTCCACCTTAACCAGGCCTAACAGATTTTTGCCTCCTGCCCACAACCTTCCTCTCCTATTTCTTGTTCTCCTACATATCTCTGAGGGTACTTATTGACTTGTTGGGAAAGCTAATAAGGGGGAGAGAAGTTGAGTGCATTTTTTTACCCACACATTACATATTTAAATGGTTTTTGTGGATTCCTATATAAATATGAGAAGCTTCTTTCAAATGAATATACTGAATAGACTCTGTCTAGGTGGGGGATGACACTGCATATGTGTGTGTGTGTGTGTGTGTGTGTGTGTGTAAAACAGCTTAGGACAGACAGAATCATCCCCAGGAAGTTCCTTTATCTTCCCAATGATATTGATATATTGTCTGGAGCCTCTATGTCATTCTTTGTCTCCCAAGATCTCAGGTTAGACTGGTTAGTTCTTTTCGTTGCTCCTGCAAACACTTCCTGAAGTCCACATAACTACTGTTTCAACCTAAGGACTTTCCCAGAGAGTTGTTACCCAACATCTCATAATACTGTTATTAACATGACATTGTTCCAGTTTGTGAAAACTTCTATCTCGATGCCTGTTTATTGGAACCAGAGAGCTCTATCCGCCTATACCTGGAATCTAAGTTAGGCAACTCCAGCAGGCCATCAGGCACTTGCCCAAAGCCCTGGGGGTAACCTGTGTTTTTTGCAGTTTTTCAAGAAGGAAGAATTAGTAGTTTGCAGTGGCCTAAACTTTTGGAAACTATGAATATATATAATGTGTATGATCCACTTTATGTCTCTGACCTCTGGCATGATATACTCAACAACCCTCACCACTTCCTGGGGCCACAGATAATGGGGGAAAGCCAAAAAGAAGATCAGAAACCTAACAGCAAAGAGGCCAAATGTGAGAATCCAAAAACATTTGTGAACGACCCACGTTGTCTCTCTAGCTATTTTCCAAAACCAAATGCTATTTTAAAAAATACATGTTCCACTTTTCCTATTAACTCAGTGCTAAGAACTGAATCTATTTCCATCAATACCAGGACATTCTTTTGTTGCTATTAAGATTCCTATGTTACTTTTCTTCCAAAAGTCTTTCCTATGTGGTCTCTCATTCATCTTTGTGATAAACTTCAAGGTTGAAGATGAAGGAAAGTAGGTGATTACTGGATAGCTTGAAGAAGAAAAGAGAATTTCATTTTTTTTTGGTGAGGAAGACCAGCCCTGAGCTAACATCCGATGCCAATCCTCCTCTTTTTGCTGAGGAAGATTGGCCCTAAGCTAACATCCATGACCATCTTCCTCTACTTTATATGGGACGCTGCGACAGCATGGCTTGACAAGCGGTACATCAGTGCATGCCCAGGATCCGAACCTGCGAACCCCAGGCCGCGCGAACTTAACCGCTGTGCCACCAGGCCGGCCCCGAGAATTTCATTTTCAAATGGGAAAATTCAGCCCTAGAGAAGCTGAGTAATTTCGTCAAGGTCACAGGGTAAGGTCTGGTGGTGATACCTTTACCCTCTAAGATTTCTTCTTATTTCTGTTATAGTCTATCATTCTAAGATCCTCTCTGCTGCCCTATGAGCAGTGCTTACTATGACATCTCTGTGGCATAAGGGCAAATGCCCACATTGGCCAAGACAAATAAACCCATGTAGGGCCAGCGTCAATGTGACCTCCTTTGTCCCATTGTGAAATCTGAGCTGACTTTGCTGGGCAGTTGAGAGATGAGAGTTTCTCTATTAATACACATATCTACGTGCCAAGCCTTGAAAGCTAAGAATGTGGCATGGGGGAGGAGGTGGGATAGATAAGTGATAGCAGTCTGGATTTGGAGTCCCCTCCCTTTGTTCAGGTCCTGGGAAAGATAATTAAATTCCTGGGTTGGGAGTGAGACAAAAATCAGAATTCTCCATGTCTTTAAAAAAGAAATTTATGCCATTACAAGGGTATGCCAACATGTGGTTATATGCAAAAATGTATAGGGGCATCTATGTCTGTGTTCTATGAATTTACTTTGTATATGTCCAAGTGTCTTTGGAATTTAGTCATAATAACATGAACATCTGTGTGTGTAGATTAACCCCACCCACCATCTTTCCAATACTCACATCAGCTGCCTTCTTCTCTGCCAGCTCCAGCTTCTCCTGGGCATCCTTCAAAGCTTCAGAATACTTGTCCAGCTCATCTTCTGTCCCTTTCAGCTTCTTCTGCATGGCTGCCAGCTCATCTTCCAGCTATAGGAGCCCCAAGAATCACACACAAAACATACTGTACACAACAGTGCAGGCTCAGACCCTGGGCTCTTGAGACAGACCCCTGAGCCCAACCTTTATGTTACCATCCCCCAGAGAGACATACCTTCTCCCCAGTCACTTCTAGCCAACTGCTCCAGGAGTTATGCTATGTCCTTGGCCTGTGACTCTATGATATCTGACCCTAAGATGATGACCAAGCCATGCTGGGTTTTCATCTAAGACCCTGGGATGGTAAATATCTCAGGGTGTAGATGCCTGTTACTCCATTTAAGGAAAAAGAGATGTTGCATATCAAGCTCCCACCTTTTCTTCTAGAAATCAGGGATTCTTCCAAAACATGATCCACTCCCACTTAAATCTAGCAGACACTCTGTAGCTCAGAAGGGGCCCTTGACTTTCCAAAGGTCACACAGGCAGTCTGAGGCAGATACACTAGATGTCCTCTGCCCAACCAGTGAGGCTGGGGAAGAAGCAGAGTCCCTCCCACCCAAAGAACAAGCTGGCACCAGTGGTCACTGCCTTTTTGCATGCAAACCCTCTTTCATCTCACAGTCTTGTTCACCAGCGGCTAAGAGAGACCAACGCCAGGGCCTACCTGTTTACTTCTTTCTTCTGCCTGCTTCTGCTCAGCTTCAGCTTGCTCTGCCCGATCCAGAGCATTCTCCTTGTCCAACTTCAGCATCTGCATCTTTTTCTTGATGGCCTCCATCGTGAGCAGTGGCCGTTGGTGGGCTCACCTGTGAACACTGGAGAACTGGAGACTAGGGCAAGAAAGGAGGGGCTGCTGGCAGAGTGTCTAGGAGTTCCCCAGACTTGAGCCTTTATCTCTGCTCATGGCTCCACCTCTTGTTCCTAATATGGTCTTTCCACCTCCCTCCACCCCATCATTGTTCTCCTGGGGGAATACAGGGTGAGCCACTCTGATGGACTGACATCACCAGCAAAAAAAAAAAAATGGGGGAACAGCTGAGGCTGATTTTAGACAATGGAAAGTGGGGGAGGGGAGAGGCTTTCCCTGACCCTGAAACTTTCCACTTACTCTGGGCAGCTCTATGGGTGTTTTTAAAAAGCAGGGAGAGGGGAGGGGAGAACACTGAAATAGAGAAGGGTACTTTGGCAACTCTAGAATGGTAGTTTTCACTCAGCGGATCCTAGTTGCCCTTCAGCTTCCCCCTTACTCTCACCCAGACTGTGTTGGATGCTGATCAAACTCCACTGGTTGAGTTTTACCTTTTGATTCCTGGTATTCAGGGAGCTTGAGGGACAGTGAGGAGGGGAGGTCACTCATGATCCTTGACAATTCCCCCAGATCTCCAGATCAAATTACTGTGCTATTTTGAGAGTCTCTAATTGGTAGAGAGACATCATTCCTCCCCCTTAAGAGCCACAGGGATGGAGTAAGAGGGTAGGGTTGGGATCTGGAAGGCCATCCCAGAGCTTCAAGAGGGGTGGGGAGAGAAGCAGGGGAGGGTCAGAGTAATCTAGATAGGATCATGTCCTCTGTTTCCCATAGTGATCTTTAAAGAGAACTTCTATATCCACATAGACCAAGGTGTTGCTGTCTTCTCGTCTCCCCACCCTCTGCTCCCTTCTTACCCCCAACCCCCCCACGCTCATCATCCTAATCATCATTACCAGCTCTATTCTCCCCTGCTTAGTTCTAGGCCATGTTCATTCTTCTACTTGGGGCCTCATTACTGACAAGTGGCAGTTGATCCCAGTACACTGGCACCATACAATCTGAGAATATGCCAGAGGAGAGGTGGGCACTATTCAAGGTGACCAGAGCTATCAAGGAAGAATATAAATGGATCTAATTAGTCATTATGTCAAGGATAGATGGGTAGTGTTAATACTAAGCCCTAGCAGTGGGGTAGCTGAGACACCCACCAGGGCAGAGGGCAAAACTGAAGTCCACTATTGAGAGCTTCCAGTCACTAGAGGTAGATAGGCAGATACGCCATCAGCTGACTCTTGAAGGAAAGCAGAGAAACCAAAGCCCCCTACTGTGGGACTAGGAACAAGGAAGTCCCAGGGACAGGAAGCAGTGGATAATGGGGGGGCGGGGGGGGGAGGAGGGTTTGAATAAGGAGGAGAAAAATACAAGGACAGGAGAAGATCAGAGATATATTCCTTCTAGCATAAGGGAAAGATATAGGAAGATTTGATACTCAAATTCCAGCACTCTCCTGCTCCCACACTAGCCCTCCAGTTTAAGACTGAAATCCTCGTAGGTTGCAGCCACTAGTGTTCCAAAGGGGTCCTGGAAAGAAGAGGTTCAGTAAAAAAGACAGGAGCCCCAGAGCCCTGGAGGTTGAAGTAGTAAAGAGTGTGATGCCAAAGTGCCCACTGCTGTAAGAATATGTTTGACATTTAGTTGGTTCCTAATTAAACAACCCAATATCAAACATATCACACAGAAGCAGGCAGGAGAGCTGTGGTGGTCACCTGCCTTCCCCCCACTGCAAAGAAAGGACAAAGCAGAAACACCAGGCACCAAGCATGGCTAGATGGAGAGCCATCTCCCTGGGGAAGGGCGCCAAACCCTGCTCTTTGCCTCCCAAGACAGCTGGCTCTTACTCATCTGGCCTTCGTGCCATCCCTGTCTCAGCTCCTCTCCTACCAGTGCCTGGCCTTTGCTGGATCACGTTGGCTTAAACCAGGGAGAATATCTGGCAGGGCTTCATGTCCGGGCACCTATCCTTCTTTAAAGCTCCTACACAGAGCTTCTCCCCCTGATGTCACGGCCCCAGCGCCCAGAGGATCAGCAGTGTCAGCAGCTCCTCGTCAGCCTAGCCACCTGCTCTCCTCAACTCCCTTCCAGCTGCCCTGAGGCTTTCTGGGGGTGGGGGTGGGGGGCTTGTCCTCCTGCTTTACCTTTCCAACAGAACTCCTAAGCTTTCCATATCACCCCCACAAGACTGCTGACGGCTTTTCAGTGACACCATCCTGGAACCCTCCTGCTCTTGAGTACTACAGATAAGTAGCCACAAGAAACTTGCAGAATGCTTGGCTGCTGCTTCCCACCATCTTGTCCCTTCTCACCTTCTTCCCATGTCCTCCAGTCAGCCTCCTTAAAGTCACCCTTGCATGTCCAGAAGAGAAGAGTGACATGTCTCACTGGCACGCTCCAGAGAAGAAGACTTATGGTCTCCCCTGCCTGGCAGAATTGAAACTAAGACTTGAGGAGATCAAGGGTGAGGGAGGAAACCCCCTGTGCCAGAGAGCAGCCTGCTGTCCTTAGGACTCTCCTCTTCTGGGGCTTTTTACGGCAAGAACTCCTGGGTTGGCTTCTCTAAGGGTCTTCCCTCACAGGGATCCAGACTGGTTCCTTTCTGAGGGATTTTTCTTCTAAAGAGAATCCGGTTTGTTGAATGTCTTGTGGCAGGCAGATGCTTCTCTCTACTGTGGCAGAAAGGACCCCGGGTTATAGCTGCACTGGTGGGGTGGAGGGCTTGGGTGGAAGTGTGGGGGTGGGAGGAGAATGCTCTGCTTCAGCCCCCAGGCCTGTTCCATGTGTCCTTGTTCCCATTAGTCCAGACACCACCCGCCCCCCACACACAAACACATATACCAGCTCCACAGTGCCCTTGATCTAGATCGATAGCTTGTCCCAAGCCTCAGTCAATTCTTGTTGTTTGGCTCTTGCCTTCCAGGGGAAGACTAACAAATGGGCATACAAGCCCCCAAAGTAGGCACCTGTGGTGTTGTCTTATGTCCTTGTTCCTTTATGGCTCTCAATGGGAGTTTGTGTATAATTTTTACTTTCTTGACCGTCCCTCTTACTTTTACCCCCCAAGTTCTAGTTCCCTTCTCTGGGAACCTTGACTACCTTGGAGAACCAGAGGCTGGAGGGAAAGAGGCTGAGAAAGGGACTAGCAGGAATTGAAAGGACTTTAGTGTTGTTGTTTTTTTTTTATAATTTTATTTATTTATTTTTCCCCCAAAGCCCCGGTAGATAGTTGTATGTCACAGCTGCACATCCTTCTAGTTGCTGTATGTGGGACACAGCCTCAGCATGGCCGGAGAAGCGGTGCGTCGGTGCGCACCCGGGATCTGAACCCGGGCCACCAGCAGCGGAGCTCGAGTACTTAACCGCTAAGCCACGGGGCCGGCCCTTAAGGACTTTAGTGTTTAGGGCACTAGGGGAACAGAGGAAGAGACTGGGAATATTGATGTAGGGAGGAGCAGCTTTCTTAGAAGGACACTTTGGATGGCATAACTAGGCAGAAACATCAGATAACCTCTGATGAAAGCTTTCTGGCTATTCTGGAAATACCTTCTATACAGCCATTTCAAACAAGACTAAGCCCTTCTGAGCCAGAGGAGCTGGAGAAGGCACCAGCCACAGAGGGAAAGGGGCTGGATGGGTGTGATAGGGTGAACTACTCAGTTGATGTGATGAGAGCAGACAGAGTAGGCAGAGAGGATCAGAGGACATGGGCTCTGTAGGGGGCCAGTCTGCCAATATTGGAGTCAGCCTGGCACTGACAAGCCCTGGGGACAGAGGCCAAGGTCACGGATCAAGGCAGAGGGGGTGGGGTGTTCTGTGGGTCCAAATGAACAGAGGAAAGAGGAATCAAAGGAGTTGGTGAGGGAGTGTGGTGAGAGGTGGGGGGCAGCCATGTAATGGAGAGGAAATAAAAAGGGAAAAAACTATTATAGGGCAGGAAAACATCATTTGGGTTACCATTTATTGGGCATTATGTGCCACCTCTCTGCTAAGTGCTTTACTTAATCCCCACAGCAAGACAGTGAGGTAGGCATTATCTCCATTTTACATATAAGGAACTGTGATCCAGAAAGTTAAAGTAACTTGCTCAAGGCCACACAGGCAGCAAGTGACAGAGCCAGGATTCAAACTGAGAGCTGTCCAGTGTTAAAGCCTATTCTCCTATCGCCAGGCTACACTGCCCATATAGAAGCAGCAGAGGGTGGCTGGGACACAGATACGAGGGAAGATGGAAGAAGTGAAGGTGGGATGGGCCTGCTGGAAGTTGAGGGAGGGCAGGGCAACAGGCAGAAGGAATGGGAGACTCAGTCTCAGGTTTGTGGGTCAAATGCAGGCCACGTGCGTGTGGTTTTGTCTCCTATAAAACTCATGTGATGCCGTCATTACTTGTTCAACGTCTGCTGCGCCCCCAGCCTGTGAGCTCCATGTCTTGTTTGGTGTAAGAACCCATGAGGAGCTATTGACTAAGGATAAGAGGGCTTGGGAAACAGGGCTGATGGGGGCTGGAGGATGAATGGATATATAGGACAGAAAGAGAGACAGGCACGGGATGAAGAATGACATTTGAGCTGCCTAACGGGGCTGGCCAGGGGGCTAGCAAGGGAACCTTTAGTGTCTGGGTCACAGGGAAATCTCCTGAGAGGGAAAAGGAGGATACCTATTGTGTGCCAAGCATTGGGCTTGCTCTCTACATACATTATCTTATTTAATCCTCATAATGATCCTATGAGAGTGGTGGTGGTGTCCCCATTTTCAGAAGAGGAAACTGAGGCTCAGAGAAGTAACTTACACATGGTGACACAACAATTAAGAGTGAAGCCAGACTTTGAACCCACACCTGACTCCAAAGCCTGTGTTCTTCTCTTTATACCCTGCTGCCTCTCTGTGCTCATCAGTGGGGTGTGTAGGGAGAGAAGGAAGGAGAAGCTCTGACAGCTGAGATGAAAAATGTATGCTGAAGGATGGAGACAGACTTAGGGGTAGGGTAGGGGGTGGTGTAAATTTTGCAGTGGAGACATAGCTACACATGGAGTTGAGGGCAGGAAAAGATCAGTGTGGAAAGGATAAGTGACCAATGAGGATGCAGACTGCAAGATGAGAGAACAGGGAAAAGTATGTATGACGGTGATTACATCAGAGAGTGATAGTGTGTTCCTGCAACTGTTACTGGCTGCAAAATGGGGGTCTCTCTGGCTTGGGATGTCATTTGTATGTAAAATGGATCTTTATAAGTAAGTTCTCTATGGCCTATAGATGCATGTGATTAGTCAGTACTTTTCAGTATTTTTCAGAATTTTGAATGCCTTTAGATTTCCAGTCCCCCATAAATCCCACCATTCCTTATTTCTTTATACCTGCTATATTACTTGCCTGACCCCTGAAGGCATTTGAGTTTGGAACCCTGTATTTTGCAGAGGTGGGCATTTCAGGCAGAGGAAAGACTTGTTCAAGGTCTCACAAAAACTGGCCAACTTGAAACCTAAACCCCAGGCCTCCTGACACTCAAGCACCACAGTGCCTGTGATTTTTTTTTTTTTTTGTGAGGAAGATCAGCCCTGAGCTAACATCTGATGCCAATCCTCCTCTTTTTGCTGAGGAAGACCGGCCCTGGGCTAACACCCGTGCCCATCTTCCTCTACTTTATATGGGACGCCACCACAGCATGGCTCGGCAAGCAGTGCCTCAGTGCGCGCCTGGGATCCGAACCGGCGAATCCCAGGCCGCTGAAGCAGAGAGCACAAACTTAACCGCTTGCGCCACTGGGCCGGCCCTGTGTGCCTGTGATTAATAGCCACATTAAGAGCTATTTGTCTAAGTATACAGAAAAGATCAGTGGAAGTGAGATCTGAGAGGTGGTGAGCAAAATCCAGGAAGCTATATTATGGTTATGGCAGCTGAAAATAAGCACTTTTGAAACAAATAAAGATTTAGGGCTGAAAGAATGAGTCAAGTGGTCTAAGTTTGAACCTTTAAGAGCTAGCTTTATTTGTTAAACCAAATCAAGATCCTCTACTCTCACAATGTCCATCTCTCAACCCCCCTCCCCCCACTTACATCAACACTGCATACCTCATTCTGACCACAAGGCGTCACTGTTGTTTTTACCAATGTCTCATAGATTCTTTCCCAAATAGCACCAGGGGGTTGACAGGAGAGTGAAAGAGGTGAGAGTGGGAGCACTGTGTTAAGTCCTGGGCAGATAACTAGATCCAGGTGTGTTTTGGGAAGGACGTTCAAGGTGGCAGGGGCTCAAGAAGGCTAGGTTCGCAGGCATGGTGAGAATGGAAGGACAATGTTTTGGATGCCATCAGAGTCTCTCTAAGTAAAAAGCTTTGCCCATCTGATTTAGTTCCTGCTGGTACTGCTGATGCTCCTTTTCAAACAGCTGGTGCAGGGCGGCTTGACGGACCTGGTGGGGAGGGCAGAACAGAGTGTGATGTTTGCCCTGTTTGGCCCTCTTTTTTTTTTTTTTTGTAAGGAAGATGAGCCCTGAGCTAACATCCATGACAATCCTCCTCTGTTTGCTGAGGAAGACCAGCCCTGAGCTAACATCTATTGCCAATCCTCCTCCTTTTTTTTCCCTTTTTCTCCCCAAAGCCCCAGTAGATACTTGTATGTCATAGTTGCACATCCTTCTAGTTGCTGTATGTGGGACGCCGCCTCAGCATGGCCGGACAAGCGGTGCGTCAGTGCACGCCCGGGATCTGAACCCGGGCCACCAGTAGCAGAGTGCGTGCACTTAACCGCTAAGCCACGGGGCCCGCCCCTGCCCCCTTTTCTCATTCTCTCTCCTAGGTTGCCTTCTCATCACTCGTGTTCTCTTGGATCTGGACTTAGATGTGACATAAAGCTAGGCAATAGCATAGAGGCTGAACCATTGGAGGGAAAGCATACCCAATTTTTTCTCCATAGGTGAAGCCCCATGTTCAGCAAATATTTGCTGAGAACATACCATGAACCAGGAACTCTGCTAGGCACTTGGGATACAAAGATGGTGACATGACAGCAATTGGGGACTCCAGGGAGAGAGGGGTTCTAAGAGGCAGGTGCTGGGCACCAAGAAGAAGTTCTGAGTCGCACCAAGATGAGAAGACCAAGAACTAGACTGTACTTTGGGGCTTTAGAATATGCCATCTGCAGCTGGATGCAAAGAATCACTTAATGAAAAAGAGCTTTAGCATGTGCAGTTAAACAGTTATTGCTCTGGTGTAATGGTGAAAACCTCAGAGGTATATAACACGTGTGAGACTAAGAGCTTGGGAATCCCAGTAGGCAAAGGCACTGGGCAGTAGTGGATGAGACTTCAGGTCACCCTTGCTAGAACTCACCATCAGTAGTTGCTTGTTGGCCAGTGCCAACTCCTGTACCATGGTGTTCCGCATTCTTAGGGTGGCATATGGGTTTCTCCTCTGGCTCAGTGTCATCTGCCACAGACAGTGAGTGTGTGAATTTCGCCACCTGCCCCAGGTATAGAGGTAGGGGTTGAATGGGTTAGAGTTAGGAATGGAAACAAAAACCCCATCAGTGAGGCTGCTTCTTCACCAGAACATCTGTGCCAGTGTCAGAAGACTGCAAACTCCTTGAAAAGGTAACTAGAACTGACTCAGAACCTAGTATATATTAAGTACATTATGCCATTTAATCATCATAATAATCATGTGTCATAGATATTAATTTTTGCATTATACAGACAAGGAAACTAAAAGTTCAAGTGAGTTGCCCAAGGTCTCTCAATGGCGGTCTCTCAATGGCAGACATGGGTATCAAATCCAATCCAAGGATTAATTCCTTCCATCATACCAGTGATCCTCAACCCTGGCTAGACACATTCTGGAATTATTTGTTATTTTTTTATTTTTTGGGAGGATGATCAGCCCTGAGCTAACATCCATGCCAATCGTCCTTTGTTTTTTTTGGTTTTTTTTTGTGAGGAAGATCGGCCCTGAGCTATCATCTGCCAATCCTCTTTTTGCTGAGGAAGACCGGCCCTGGGCTAACATCCATGCCCATCTTCCTCCACTTTATATGGGGTGCCTGCCACAGCATGGCCTGACAAGTGGTGCATTGGTGTGCGCCCGGGATCCGAACCAGCGAACCCCGGGCCACCACAGCGGAGCACGTGCACTTAACCGCTTGCACCACTGGGCCGGCCCCCCCAGTCGCCCTCTTTTTGCTGAGGAAGACCTGCCCTGAGCTAACATCTATTGCCAATCCTCCTCCATTTTTTTCCCTTTTTCTCCCCAAAGCCCCAGCAGATAGTTGTATGTCATAGCTGCACGTCTTTCTAGTTGCTGTATGTGGGATGCCACCTCAGCATGGCTGGACAAGCGGTGCATCGGTGCGCACCCAGGATCCGAACCTGGGCCGCCAGTAGCGGAGCGCGCGCACTTAACCACTAAGCCACGGGGCCGGCCCCGCGTTACGGTTTTTTAATACATAAAAGGAATAATCAGAGCCAGGCCTGATGGCCTAGTGGTTAAAGTTTGGCACACTCTGCTTCGGCGACCCAGGTTCACTTCCTGGTCGCAGAACCACACCACTGGTCTGTCACTTGCCATGCTGTGGTGGGGGCTCACACTGAAGAACTAGAAGGATTTACAACTAGGATATACAACTATGTACTGGGGCTTTCTGGAGTTAAAAAAAAAAAGGAAGATTGGCAATAGATGTTAGCTCAGGGCGAATCTTTCCCACGGGAACAAAAAAAAAAGGAATATATGTATCATACACACATATACATATGCAAATATACGTGTATGTATCCTCTGCTCAGATAACCCGTTGACATTTTTTAAAAATCAAGTATTTTTTTATGGAAGACCAGAAAATTAAATCCATACAGAAACATATTAAATCAAAAGTGAAAGTTTCATTCTTCTGGCCCAGTCCTTCTCAACAGTTATCACAGTTTCTTGTGTATCTTACCAGAAAATTTTTCTATCATACCAGCAAGTATATCTTTTAATTTTTTTTGCTTGTTTCTTTGAGGCAGATCAGCCCTGAGCTAACATCCATGCTAATCCTCCTCTTTTTGCTGAGGAAGACTGGCTCTGAGCTAACATCTGTTACCAATCCTTCTCCTTTTTTTCTTCCCCCCAAAGCCCCAGTAGATAGTTGTATGTCATAGTTGCACATCCTTCTAGTTTCTGTATGTGGGACGTGGCCTCAGCGTGGCGGGAGAAGCGGTGCGTTGTGCGCGCCCAGGATCTGAACCCGGGCCGCCAGTAGTGGAGCGTGCGCACTTAACCGCTAAGCCATGGGGACGGCCCAATAATTTTTTAAAGATGAAATCACACATTTATATAAGCAGTATTACTTAACAATTTGGACTTTTCATATCAGACATAGAGATTTGCTCCAATCTGTTTGAACACTGCCTAATATTTTTGTATCATCATTTAACCAGCTAGGTTGTTTCTAGCTTTTTTACTTCTATAAACAATGCTGTCATGAATGTTCTTGTGTATGTACATTTTAGTGCTTTTGTAGGTATTACATCCTAGACGTAGAGTTGCCAGTTCAAAGGATATATGAATTGTAAATTTTGATAGATTTCATCAAACGGCCTTGGTAGAAAAGACTGCATCAACCTTGACTCCCACTAAAATAGTATGCATTCTTCTCACCTCAGATCCTTGCTAGCTCTGAGTATAACCTGTGAAACCTTAAAACACAGGCTTATCCTATCCAATCCCAGACCATTTTAGTCAGACTCTTCTAGGCTAAGACCTGAGCATGTGTTTTTTAAAAAGCTCCCCCGGTGAAGGAATACAGTCTTTTGAGTCTTCTCATTCACTTATTCAACAAATACTGCATACACACTACATGATTAGTGCAATGCCAGGCAACAAATATCTGAATTCACTTTAAAAAATACAAAAACAACAAAAGCTTAATCCGATTTTCCTTCAGAGAATGGGAAGCCAAGGGCGATAAAAACCATTGTCTAGGGCTGGCCCTGTGGCTTAGGTTAAGTGTGCGCACTCCGCTGCTGGCGGCCCGGGTTCGGATCCCAGGCGCGCACTGACGCGCCAGTTCTCCAGCCATGCTGACACCGCGTCCCAAATACAGCAACTAGAAGGATGTGCAACTATGACATACAACTATCTACTGGGGCTTTGGGGGAAAAATAAATAAAATTATAAAAAAAAAAAAAACCATTGTCTATACAGCCTAACCTAGTGGGTACAAGGAGGCTGATCTCTGCTTGTGAGAACTAGGGCTGCTACTTCCTCCTCCATACCTGTTTTCCTTCTTGATGAGTCCCTAACAGGATGCAGCAGATCTGAGAGGTGGCTCAGGGAGGACAGGAGGGTGAAAAAGTCAAGCTGAAGGGTAAAGGAAGGAATAGAAGCAGAGATTACCTGTCAACCATCTTCTTAAGTCCCAGGGCCCTTTGAAAACTCTGCAAGAAAAGGAAGTTCTGTTGATCCGCCTTGATCTCCAGTACCTCACCTCCAGTACCCTATTCTAGGGGAGACACATAGACCTTCCTCTTTTGAGACAGGGAGTGGCCAATTTCCTAGGAGAGGCGGGGAAAAAGTCCTGCTCCTTTCAGAATGGATCAAAGAAAACATGCAGGGGTTGCTATGGAACAAATATTTGAATACCTACTATGTGCCAGACATAGTCTCTCACTCCTGTTACTATCCTTGTGTTACATCAAAGGCCTCTCTCAAGAAACTGTCCACTTCTGGTAAATTGACCTGGAAACCTCACCCAGGGAAACTCCTCCAACCCAGCCCCTCCTTCCAACTCTGCATACCTCTTCTACTTTTATCATTTTTTCCACAGACATGTCTACAGACATGCTTGATGTGGTCTTAAGAGACTGAGCAGGCTCTCCTTTCTGTTTAGTTCAGTCACCGAGGTTTCAGTAGTCATAGCAACACTTATGCCTCCAACAATGACCCTAGGCCTAGGAGTTGGTCACCTGGCCTGTTGCCCGGGAGACCTGAGGGAATCCTGGTTCTCCAACCTTCTATTAGTGACACAGGCAATTCTATGAGCAAGGACCACAGTCCTAATTTTAGAATTTCTTCTGTTGGGGCCCCAAGGAGTATCCGTTTGGTGCTAGGTCCAGAGAGCATTATCATATGCATATTTTATTAAAAGGCAACTGTAAAGAAACGAATCATATGCTTTATTTTCTAACTGTTCATTTTATTAAATAACTTATAAAGTCAGACCAGTGCACTGGTCTGACCATTCCTTCACAATGCCCCATAGCATCCCCAATAAATGAGGGAGAATGAGATTATGTCACATGTCAAAATATTCTCTTTTCAATTTATTCACAACAGTATGGAATGAAAGTGGAAGGGCAGATCCTTGCACGTCAGGGAAGTTGTGTTGATGTTTCAACACAGCCTGGTTTAAGTGGAGCACCAGGGTAAATTATTCCACATACCACTTATGGCAGTACCTGACCGCCCTACCAGTTCCTGTCTGCCTTTCCCACCAATCAACTCTAAGATGTCTCAAACCAAAATGGTTCCCATTCAACCACGTACAAAGGGGGAGATACGGAAGACACCAAGCCCCATCACCCCAACTCTCACCCTTGGGATTATTTATAGTCTGGAAAAGGGCAGGTGAACTATGATCAAGACAAAGTGAGGCTTTTTAAGGAAGCTTTGACAGAAATATTAAGAAAAACATCTGAATTCAACTCCAGAAAAAAGTGCTACCAAGGGAAAATAAAGTCTTAACTGATGTTCTGAAACTGGCCATAAGAAAGGGTTGGAGAATGACCCTCTAGGCATGAGCTCTAAGAGCTCTGGGCACAATGGGAGATTTGGCTGATCCAGTCTGGGCCTGCTGAGCCAGAAGACCTGAAGGCTGCCCGGCAAGAACACCGCAGTCTGTCTGGCTCCATCAACAGCGAGAGTCCTTCAGCTCCATCACAGAGTACTCTCCAGTGTGTTATAGTTGTCCTTAAAGCTCTTCAATTCGAGGAAGTGCTTGGCACGTTTACTCTTCTGACTGGAGGGGAGGTATGTCACCTGGATGGTTGTTGGGGAGACTTCAGGAGACTGGGTTAGGTCTTTGGCTGCTGACTGGTGGTGTCGCTGAGAGCTCCCACTTCGTGCTTTGATGCTGAAGAATACAGACAGGGCAGGTCATGGCGAGAATGAGGACTCACAGAAAAATACAATTCAAGGTTCGTCCATCTCATAAATGCAACTGCAGCCACAAATGGTCTCTGTCCTATCTTATAAACTAGTTACTAAAATCCCATCCGGTAGCTTGGAAATAGCAGAGAAACCAGTTTTCCCACTGGGTCCCTGGCTCTGGCTCAACCTTTTCTTCATCTCATGCTCTTCATCACTATGCCTAAAGAAACCTATTAATTTTTCTGACTCACCTACTGTGTGTATGCCACTAATATGCTCCCAGTCCAAAGAGAGTCTCTTGAAAACTGAATACCAAAAGTTAAGAATAGAGGGGCCAGCCCAATGGCGCAAGTGGTTAAGTGTGCGCGCTCTGCTGCGGCGGCCCGGGGTTCACTGGTTAGGATCCCGGGTGCGCACCGACACGCTGCTTGTCAAGCCATGCTGTGGCGGTGTCCCATATAAAGTAGAGGAAGATGGGCACAGATGTTAGCTCAGGGCCAATCTTCCTCAGAAAAAAGAGGAGGATTGGCATCAGATGTTAGCTCAGGGCTGATCTTCCTCACAAAATAAATAAATAAAGACACAAAGCAAACACAAGGAAGCATTTAAAAAAAAAAAAGATAAGAATAGAAATAACTATTGAGTACTTACCACATGTTAGGACATTAAACTTGGTGCTTTACCAATGTCTAATTTACTAACGTCCCAAAATCCCTACATGGTGGTATCATCTCCGTTTTGCAGCTTAGGAAACTGAGGGTCCATTAAGTAACTTGTCTGAGGTCACAAAACTAGTAAGTGACAGACAGCTGGGATTCAAACCTAAGTTTGTCACATTTCAGAGCCTATACTCTTTTCACCATATCCATTGAACCTATTTAGAAACTAGAAATCCAAAGAGACTGAATTTTTTTAAAAACTGTGCTAAAATACACATAAAATTTACCATCTTATCCTTTTTTTTTTTGGTGAGGAAGAATGGCCCTGAGCTAACATCTGTTGCCAGTCGTCCTCTTTCTGCTTGAGGAAGATTGCCCCGGAGCTAAAAGCTGTGCCAATCTTCCTCAATTTTTTGTATATGGAACACCACCACAGCATGGCTTGATGAGCGGTGTGTAGGTCTGAGCCTGGGATCCGAACCCGCAAACCCCGGGCCATTGAAGCAGAGTGCACAAACTTAACCACTACACCACCAGGCCGGCCCTATCTTATCTATTTTTAAACGTTTACAATTCACTAGTGTTAAGTACATTCACACTGTTGTGCAACCAATCTCCAGAATTCTTTTCACCTGGTAAAACAAATGCTCTACCTACTAAACAACTCCCTATTACCCCTTTTCCCCAGTCCCTGGCAACCACCATTCTACTTTCTGTCTCTATGAATCTGACTACTCTAGGTACCTCATATAAATGGAATCATACAGTATTTGTCTTTCAAAGAAAGTGAATTTTGAATAGGCCTCCTGCCTGACTTCTAGACCAAATGCCCTTTTCCATCCTCTCCACATGTTCATTTTCATTACTGTTCTACATAGTTTTTACTAGAACTTTTTGTCTTTAGGAACAAGGTAGTTTATTTTTAGGAACAGAGAGAAGACAGGACAGACATATGGCTCATCTTCAGATAAAGAGCCATATTCAACACAGCAAAAAACAGATGTATTCTTTTCATGTCTGATAACTAACTTTTTATTCCAGATTGGCTTTCCCTCTTCACCTTTTCATTTTAACATTTACATAAACAACATAATGAAGCTATGTTAGCACATATTTAAAACATTCCCAGACAAAAGTCATGATTCCTCTCCTATAACACACTCAACAGCTGATTCTATAGTGATGCCCTTTGTTTCAAACAGGGTTAGTAATGCTTTAAGTGGTAATAAAAATGGGTGGCATTTAATTCTTACTTTTATCAGACCAAGACACAAAACACACTGGGACCCTGGAAGAGAAGGAATCTCTATGTGCTGAAAAACTTTATTCTAACATTTTACTGAGCTGGACTAAAAAATAGAAAAAAAAAAAAAAGAGGTGCACAAAAGTAGAAGCTGATCTTAATAGCTTGTAGAGCAGCATCTGCTTTCCAATGTGCACACGAGGCAGTTCTAATAGTCTAGAACCTGACAACTCTTATGTTACCATGGATTTTGTTCATAATGCTTTATGAAGGTCATCTCATTGTGGGAACAGTCCAGCACTGCTATATTCTCTAACCTGCCCCTTTGACATGTTCCCCTCCAAACTCACACTGTGGCCAGCTCACTCAGGGCCTCCTGATAGTGCAGGTACTCACTCTGGCCAAAGACCTGAGGAAAGAGGAAGGAAGAGTGAGGATCTCTCAGTCTGGGGCATCCCTTTAGTTCCCTGAAGGAAAAAGTGGCCATCCAGCTTACCCCTGTCCCATAGCGGGCTGTCTCATAGCCATCCAGCAGCGTATCAATGAGTGCTTTGCGCACACCCTTGAAAGGAGTACTACTGTTTCGAAGATCTAGTAGGTAGGAGCGGAAATTCTTGCCCATTAAGGAACGGGGATGCCGGCCTTCAGAATGAAATGGGATCTCTGAGGAGATAACAACACAATGATATTCCTTCTCCCATTCATCTTTCTAGTCAATTTCCCTAACTTAGAAATGGGTCCAATGAGTGAGCTGGAGAGAAATTCTAATAGAATTAAGACAGAGGTACAGAGCTGTGTCTGAGTGGTCACTTGGTGGTGGCAACACAATCGTAAGCTATATCAATGATACATGATAGTATCATTGTCCTATTTACACTCCTACTTACCCATCCTGGCTTTAAGATATAAACTATGTTTTGGTAGAGACAGAGCATATATGACAATGGTCACAGAATGAAAAAAATTTAAGAACCCTCTATCTTGGGCTTAGTGAAAAAGCAGATATCACCTGTCTTTTGTGGAAAAACAAATTACCACCATCCAGTTTATGAAACTAAAGGTCTAAAGAGAAGAACAAAACAAATCCAGACTCTGAGAAGAAATCACTCACCTACATCATTTCCTTAGGCAAAATAGTACCCAGTACTCGCAAAACTCTAGGAAATTCCTACTAGCCAGGGATGTGCAGAAAGGACAAATTCTAACATACATAAAGTGGGTTCCTCCCTCTCTTCCCCAGGTGAACTTTCAGCATCCTGAGTGGCCCGTCAAGTAGCCCTTACCAGAGGCACGGATGGCATCCAGAGCTTTCATCCTGTATAGATAGTTGTAGCAATCTGTTGAGAAAGACATTGGTCTCAGGCATAACCCTCAAAATTCTCCAAACTCCAGCAAGCTAATAACTGCCTCCCCACTTCTTCCTTTTTTTTTTTTTTTGCTGAGGAAGACTGGCCCTGGGCTAACATCCATGCCCATCTTCCTCCACTTTATATGGGATGCTGCCACAGCATGGCCTGACAAGCAGTGCATCAGTGCGCACCCAGGATCTGAACTGGCGAACCCCAGGCCGCCGCAGCTGATCTCGCGCACTTAACCGCTTGCGCCACTGGGCCGGCCCCCTTATTTTTTTTGAGGAAGATCAGCCCTGAGCTAACATCTGATGCCAATCCTCCTCTTTTTTCTGAGGAAGCTTGACCCTGAGCTAACATCCATGCCCATCCTCCTCCACTTTATATGGAATGCCGCCACAGCATGGCTCGACAAGCAGTGCGTCGGTGCGCACCCGGGATCTGAACCGGTGAACCCTGGGGGGCTGCAGCGGAGCGCGCACACTTAACCACTTGGGCCACTGGGCTGGCCGCCGCCCCCCTCCTTTTTTTTTGTGAGGAAGATCAGCCCTGAGCTAACATCCATGCTAATCCTCCTCTTTTTGCTGAGGAAGACCCGCTCTGAGCTAACATCTATTGCCAATCCTCCTCTTTTTCCCCAAAGCCCCAGTAGATAGTTGTACATCATAGTTGCACATCCTTCTAGTCCCACATCCTGCTGTATGTGGGACGCGGCCTCAGCATGGCCAGAGAAAGTGCGTCGGTGCGCACCTGGGATCCGAACCCGGGCCACCAGTAGCGGAGTGCGCACACTTAACCGCTAAGCCACGGGGCCGGCCCCCCCACTTCTGACATACACCCAGTAACAGAGGAACTAAAGCTGCTGAATTTGCCAGCAGCTATGCTGACAACTCTGAAAGCAAAGGCATTCTGAACTTGTGGGACTCCTCACTAAAGTATCCTCCAAGAGCATGCCACATACTCTGATTTCCCTGGGTTTCCAGCTGTAGCAGTCTTGCATCATCATCTGCAAGGAGCTGAGGTTCATACTTGATATCCTGAACCCTGGATAGTCGGATATCGATCTCCTCTTTTAAGTCCTGTTCACAAGGAGAAAAAAATACACAATCACTTACTCTGTACTCAGCTTCCTAGCAATCTGGAAACGGGGCAGAGCAAGCGAACAACTAAGACAACAGAAGCAGAGAAAATGCTCATTTGGCTAATGAAATTGCCAGATAAGACTCAAGAACTGAAGAATGGGATTGGTTTCTCTAAGAACCTCTCCAAACTGTACATCTCTGAGCTAGATCTTTTAACCTGCCAGAATTCCTTCAAGCTCTATAGCATCAACGTTATTTCTGACTTTGAATTGGGTTTAGAAGAATCTTGGTTAGGTGTTATAAAGAACTTCCTGAGCTGGGAAAAAATGGACAGCAATTGGAAGTCATAATCTACTCTAAAAATCTATAAGGAGGCCTGTATATGGTTTCTAATAGTTTGGCGACTTCCCACCTGGTGGACCACAGGATTTCTACAGGCTTTCTTCTAAAGCATATTTAATTTTTTCAGTAGCTAATTCACATTCATGGTATAAAATTCAAAAAGGTACTAACAGCATCACCCCTCACTTACCCAGAAGCAACCACTGTTAACAGTTGCATATTCATCTCTCTTACTTAAGAGGGTTGGCAGAGCCCCAGTAAGTAGATTTATTTTCTTATAACTTTTTAGAAACTTCCACTGTGAAATATACCATACACACAATACATATATGTACATTTTAAGTAACTATAAAAATCATTAAGATGAAAACCTGTATGCACTATCCAGGTTATAAACTGGAACATTACCAATGCCTTTGAAGCCTTGTGTGCCCATCCCTGATTGAATGCAACCCCCAATATTCATTAGTCAACAATCTTCTTATTTTTCTTCACTGTTTTATCATGTCACCCTAAACAAGACGGTTAGCTTTGCCTGGTTTTGAACTTTATACAAATGGTAAAATACTTTTTGAATTCCTTTGCAACCTTTTAAAATTTTAAATAAATTTTATTAAAGTTGAATTTACATGCCACAAAATGCATCCATTTTAAGTGTGCAGATTGACGAGTTTTGACAAATGAAGATACCCACTCAACCACCATTCCAAGATACAAAACATTTCTGTCACCCTAAAATGTTCTTCATACCCCTTTGCAATCAACCTCCCCCTCCCTACCCCAGGCAACATTGATGTGCTTTCTATCAATATAGTTCTGCCTGTTCTAGAATTTTATATAAATGGAATGGAATCATATGGCTTTCATGAATGACTTTATGGATTTTTTTCACTCATTTTTGAGATTCGTTCATGTTCCCACTTTTTTCATTCAAAAATATTTTGGAGATTCACTTGTGTTCATATATTTATCTTCAGTTTATTTTCATTCCTTATAGTATTCCAGAATACAAATATATCATTATATATCCATTCTCAAGTGGAGATTTAGATTGACAGTTTCTTTTTAAAACATTATGAACAATGCTGCTATGAATATTCTTGTACATGTCTTCTGGTACACATGAATGAAAATTAATTTCTCTAAGGTAAGAGTGGAATTCTGGGGTGTGGATTAAGTACACATGCAATCTTACTAGATAATGCCCAAATATTTTCCAAAGTGGTTTTGCTAACTTATACTTCCACCAGCAATGGATGAGAATTTAATGAAAGAATTTTTTAAAGCAAAAGAAATCCTGATTTCATCTTGTCTAGGGGACTCCTAAATAGTCAGTTTTGAACAGCTCATGATGTACTGGAAGCAAACCCTAGATCCCTTTTATGGGAAGCAGTTGGCATTTGGAGAACTGAGGGAATGTAAAAGGAGCACTGTTGAGGCTGCAGCCCATGACATCTTCCTTGAGGCTTTCCACGAAATACATCAGCAAAGAATATGGAGGCGAAGGTTAATAGTACTGGTTAATGAAAGAATATTGGTCCAGGAGTTGAGAGAATTGTGTACTAGCTCTAGCTTTCCCACTAACTTGCTTTTCACTCAACAATGAATTATTGAGTACCTACTATGTGTAGGACCTGGTTTTACAGTGGTGAGCAAAACTGGCATGGTGCCTGCGTTCTTGAAGCTGACAGTCTAGTGGAAGAGAGAGGCATTAAACAAATAAACAAACATAAAAGAAAATTTGTGGTAAAATGTTATCTAGAAAAAAAATCAGAGTACTATGAGAAAACAAAGAGGAGGACCCACTTTAACACAGGTACTAAGCATTTTTCTTTGGGGAAATAATATTTGAGCTAAGATCTAAAGAACAAATGAGCTGGCCAAGTGAAGACCAGAGAAAGATCATTCTAGGCCACAGTAACAGTACATGTAAAGGTGGGAAATTCAACCAGTGTAGCTGGATCCCAATGATCAGGAGAAAGCTATACAAAAGGAGGTTGGTAAGGGGAGCAGCTGCCTTTTACCCAGAAGTGGAAGATAGAAGAAGCAGGATGGGGGTGGAAGTGGGGTATCAAGAGTTCTGATTTAGACATGTTAGGTTTGAGACACCTATCAGACATCTAAGTGGAAACATTAGGTAGGCAGTTGGATATGTAAGTATCCAATTCAGTACAGAGGTTTGGAATAGAGATAAAATTTCATCAGTAGATATTTAAAGCTAAGGAAAGGAAGGCAATTACCTAAGCAGAGAGTACAGTCGAAGAGACCAATGGTTCTTCACTTTATATATATCCTCAGGTAAGTTGCTTCCTTTTCTTAGGTTTCAGTTTGTAACATGAATAATGGAACTAGATGATTTATGGGGCCCTTATAAATCCAAACTTCTGCAAAGGCAACTCTTCTCATTGATCTGAGGCTAATTCTAACCACCCTAACCCCATCCTAAAACAAAATTTAAAAAAACAAACCAACAGAAAACACTGGGTAGATTACAAGTTGAACTGGGAAACATCTTACCACAAAGAGTTGGAAATTTTAATCCAAGTCCTTCATTCTGCAGATGCAAAAACTGAAGTTCCTGGGTAAGCCACATGCTGTGCCACAGCAGTGAGCAGGTAAGCCAAGACCCAAGCTGACCGTTACTGCTCAATCTGCTAAGGTAAGCACGTGGGTAACTGGACAAGGAAACATGGGAATTAAAGTCATTTCTAAAGACAAAAGAAATCTCATTCTGGACCCTAATAGATCTTGAGAACCAGGCCTATCTCGTGCCTTAAGGACGTACCTTGGGGGCATTGTGTCCCACAGGGACATGAGGTCCCCGTCGGGATTTCATTGCAAAGCGCATGATTTGCCTCTTCACAAAAATAAATAGCAGTACAAACACCTGTCCAAAAGATAAGTAAAGATTCTTTAATAAAAAGACACTGGGAAAAAAAAAGGCATGACTTCATTTCAAATCCCCAGTTTCGGGCTATCAGGGATGCTTCGGGGTATAACTTGGGGCAAGCAAGGCTGTCAGAGATGGGGTGGATAGACGGAACCCTGCAGCGGGGAGGCGTGGGGGTCTGGTCCTAGGGTTTAGAGGGAGGGTTCTCGGTCAGGGGCGGGGCGGTCCGAGTCAGTGACTTACGCTCCCAGGTGCTCCTGGGATACGAGTCAAAGCCCAGAAACAGCGCAGGTGAGTGGGTGGAGAATGAGGCTAGGGAACAGCTCAAGAGGAGGGTCTCTACTGGGTTAGACGCGACAGCAGGGTGGGGGATCTCCTCACCAGGCTCCCGTAGGCCATCACCAGCACGACATTCACCCCGGACAGCCAGTTACTGCTGGACGCCATGGCCGCCCCGCCCCGCGCAGAACCTCTCCGGTTTACCCCGCTGCCCTGCCTCGTCAGCCCGGGCTCCGCGGAGGCAACGGCGCCTGGGTTCCGTGAAGCTCCTCAGCCATTTCCTTACGAGGAAAGACCAAGGCTGACCCGGCCTGAAAACATGGCGGATGGGGGGGGGGGTGCCTAGCTAAGAAGAACGACGCCTTCCCGCTTCCCCCCAGCACGTGACTCAGGCAGGCAATAGCACCCGGAGCAACGAGTGCGGAGACGCGGAACTACGCCTGTAAGAGGAAGCGGAGATCCTCCGTGGGTCACGTGGTAGAGGCGGGGCCGCTGTGGAGGAGGCGGGGCGGACGCGCGGAGCCGGAGTGAGGTGTCTCGTGGCGAGGCGGCACGCGCACGCTTGCGTGCGCGTCCCTTTTCGCATCACGTGCTGGGGGGACGCAGGAAGGCAAGTGGGAGGGGGAAGGCGCGAGAGCGAGCGCGAGAGGGAAAAGGAGGGAGGGGGTGGGGAGGAGGGAACCTTATATCACGTGACAGGGGCGGCGCGGCCCGGGGTGTCAGTGTGGAGGAGACTGAGGTAAAGTTGGGAGTGCAGCGGCGTTGGCGGCGGCGGCGGCGGCAGCGGCAGCGCGGCGGGGCCGGGTATTGTCCGCGGCCCCTTTAAATCCGCGATCCCCCTTTTACCCTCCCTCCTTTCTCCCCTGTCCCCGCCGTATCCCCCTCCCGCGATAGGCCCCCCCCGCACCGTGTGTTCCCCTACTGTACACCCCCCTTCCTAGTCTTGCGAGCCCTGGCGCCCCCCCGCACCCCCAAGTCGGCTGCCGGAGGTTTTGTTTATGGCTGGGTTCGCGGCCTAGTGGGCCGCGCCAGAGCCGGGGCCTCGATTTGGGAGCGTGGCCGGGGCGGGGCTTGGGGCAGCCGGGGGGGGGGGCCATGCGGCTAGAGCCTCAGTGGGGGGAGAGCGAGAAAGAGCGCGAGCAGCGAGGCCTGGGCCCCGCCTGAGGTAGGACTCTCTCTCTACCGTGGCTCGTGCCTGTGGAGAAAACGAGGGGGCCTCCTCCCTTTCCAGCCCTCTGCGGGCCTCCTCTGATCCGGATCCGGCCTGGTTTGGGGGTGGCGGGGGGGGGGGGGGGGGGGGGGGGGGTGAGCTGCCCCAGACTCCCCCATGTGGCCCTCAGTTTGGAGTGCGGAGGATTAATTTGTTTCGGGTGGGAGGTAAAGAGGCCATTGGCCCGGTGAGCTCCCGATGTGGCGCTGAGCGGGGTGAGCTTCCCATCCTCCACGCGTGGGCTTGCGTCCCCTCTCCGTTCCAGCCTCTTTGTCAGCTCCTCTTGTTATCCTTCCTTCTTTCTCACCGCCCTAGCTCTTGTATTATATTTTTTGCTGGTGTCTTTAGCTTCTTGTTGTCCATACTGTAGTTCTGGGTACCCCAGACAATTATGATGTTATTTGGGAAGCTGGACATTGGAGGCCCCCATGGGGTGTATTACGCTTAAGGGACGTCACTAGAGTATTGGGGTATTTGTTCACTCGTCTCATAATGGGACAGGAATTCCAAATTTCTTCAGACCTTTCACCTTGTGGACAGTCCCTAAATTGCTTTGCAAACTGATGTCACAAATAGGAGACTGCTCCTTTTTCACCGTTCTTGAGATGTGGCCACTTCTGGTGTAGGATGTTACGGAAAGAAAAACACCACAGTAACAGGCCCTTGTTGTTGTTGTCGTTACCGTTTTTGCCTTTGACTGTCCCTGATTATTAGATGGAGAAATCCTTTTTTTGTCTCCTCCCCCTCCACCGCCCATATCCTGCTTCGGGGATGTGTGATGTGACTTGCTGGGAAGTGATGAGGGTCAGTGACAACCAGCATTACTGGAGAACTAAAACGTTCTGGCTGTGTATGGGTTGATAAAACTGCTTTGAGATCCTACACCATTGTCCTTAGAGATTAGACTATCCCGGTGATTATTTCCGTTGTGAACGGGAAGTATTGCTGGCATGTAAACTAATGATGAAGGGCCTTAAAATCTACCGTTTTGTTTTTGATTTTTAAAGTCCCTCCTTGCTAAATGTGCCCTAACTGGGAAGTACTCTTTTTTTTAAAATTAGATTCAAGTTGATGGAGAAGGGGATGCAGGGGTCATTTCCACAAAACATCTAAGGGAATTAGTTGCTCTGTTAGAGGTAGCAAGCCTTGCCCATCCCAGTCCAGCTTCAGAGTTTCTGAATTGTTTCTCAAATTAGATTGTAAGCTCCCTGAGGGCAGCAACCAAGTCATACTGCTTTTGTGTTTCCTAAAGTACTGGACACACAGTAGATACTCAATAAATACTTGTTATTTATTTTTTTTTCCATAAAATATCTCTGGCTATTTTGTTAAGTAGCTGGTTTTCGAAAAATGGTCAAGGGCCCTCCTGTGTTGAAACCTGTATTTGTTCCTGCACTATTCCCTTGGTCTCCAATACTTCTCATCTATTTCTCTTAAATATTTTTATTTAGATTCCTTGCCTCCACAGTGATAACTCTGGGTATGTGTCTCTGCTTGCTACTAAAAGGCTACTAATTCTGTGCCCTCCAATGATCCATCCCAGATCACTTACTTTTGACCCGCTGAGTGTTGTTACTACCTAGGTGGTAAAATTTTCTTAGTCACACATTTCAAAGCACTTGTAAGAGAGATATGGAAGTTAATAGGAAGTGTGATCAGGAGGATTTTTTTTTTTCCTTAGTAACTATGAGGCTTTCAAGATGACTTTTTAATATATTTACATTGACTGGTAGAGTATATGCAGTCATCCATATAGCTAATCCTGCAATTTATATCTGCAGTATAACTCATGCTCACCAATTGAAATCACACGTGGAGTAGAAAGCAGTCAATATTTGTAAGTTACAGGAGTTGCTACTCCCATATTAGAAACTTCATCTTAGAGCCAATTTTTAAGCATAATAGTTTTCTGCTAGTTTTAATTTTTTTTCTCTGATTTGAATTCAGGGATACTTAGTTAAACAGCACTTATTTTTTTGTAAATTAAGTGTTGAAACTTAACTGTAATGCTAGCCTGGGAAAATGGACTACTGTGTAGCAAATAATCCTGTACTTGCTAGAAATATTTACAGGCCTTTGTGTGCACATGTGTGTAGGGGGAAGTGGTCATGGTTAAAAACTAGCCCTGAAGTTTCCTGAAAAATATCTTGGTGATAGAGAATGTAGAACTCTTAAGTCTTAATGACTGCATCAAAAAAACAAAGACCTATGCAACCTATTGACCCAACTTAGTGAAGAATTTATCCAGAGAAGTCAGCTTTCCTTGTGACCCAAGAAACAGGTGAAATTCACTTCCTTAATAGTTAATCCTTGCATATTTCTTTAGAAGCCCACCACCCCTCTCCCTCAAATCCAGCAATGTCTTCTGGGCAATCTAGAATTACCCTGTATAAAGTTTTATTAATGAAAAAAAATTAAATATAGAGCAGAAAAGTATAAACTTGTCCTCTTCGGAAGGGAATAAAACAATGCAAAGTAATCTTTTATTTTGAGCACTCCATCATATGATGAGTGTTTGTTTACTAAATGCAGCAGCTGAGATTGCATTATAAAACGAAATATGAATGAAGGGAATTTAAATTCAGTAGAATCCTTGCTTGTTAGAAATGTTACAACAAAAACTGTTCTGGTTTTGGGAAGGCCCTGTGTGTTCTGTGTCTCTTGAAAGACTCAACAAAGTCATCTTGCCAGCAGTAATGTCTCAGTTTAAAATGATTTCCCAGAAGCCCTTTCTTCCAAATAAAACTTTGTGCTAGATGCTTTTGGTTTGGGACAAGTTTGAGATTCTCTGTGTATTAAGGTGAGTAGCGGAGGGTAATTACAATCCTAGTTTCTAGGAACTGTGGACTAGGAGACCAACAGAAGCAGCTGCAAAAGCAGTGTGTTGGAATTGTTATCCAGGGAACTGACATTCTGGGTAAAGTCACTGGGGCTAATCCATGCCTTGTTGAAGGCTGTGGAAGCCCCCACAGCATGCTGAGAGATAGAAACTTGAGGGAGAAAGAGGCTAGACTTGAGCTTGTCCTTTCCTAAATGATGGAGGTCACATGCAATTTATGTAAAACAGTTGTAAGGCAGGTAAGGCTGTTTTCATAGGTGGGTTGAAAACAGTAATTTAGATTGTTATTATTTGTTTGGGGTATAGACTAATCCCCTTCCTGGAAGGCTTTTGTTTCCAGGCTTTGTTGATTATCTGTCCTTCTGTCAAAAGGACTTCACATATTTTCACCTATGTAGAAGCTTTTTGATTATTAACGTTGTTTTGCTCTCTCTCTATCAAGAGAGCAGAACTTCATAAAGCCTGCTTAGAAGGTACTGGTAACCAAACAGTGCCCATAACTTTTTAAAAAAATAAAATCATCACTTAACCATGGTTTATACATTTCTTATACAAAAATGGATTTACAGCCATAGTTGCTTAAGGAATTTATCAAACTAAATATGTCTCAAGGAGCCAGCCCCGTGATATAGTGGTTTGGTTTGCGTGCTCCACGATGGCATCCGGGGTTCGTGGGTTCAGATCTCGGGCACGTACCTACACACTGCTCATGAAGCCATGCTGTGGCGACGACCCACATACAAAGTTGGGGAAGATTGGTGACAGATGTTAGCTCAGGGCCAGTCTTCCTCTCACACACAAAAAATTCTTAAAAATTATTAAATATGTCTCAAGAACAGGCGAGTCTTATTGGTTTGTTCCTGTGAAGAAATGAAAGTGGTGAAGGTGCTGATGAAAGAGAGGTTGAAAACATCTTTTGCCCACATTTAACATCTAAACTCTTCTTTTTTAATCTTTCAGTGTTCTACCTTGTAAATACTGTTATTTGTATATACTGTAAATGATGACGTCGGTGGGCACTAACCGAGCCCGGGGAAACTGGGAACAACCTCAAAACCAAAACCAGACACAGCACAAGCAGCGGCCACAGGTAAAGAACCCAAGGGATATGGATCCATGAGTAGCCCTGGTGGTTGATACTGGTTTCCATCCAATGCAGCATCATTCTCTGCTTTGGATTGTTGATTTGGGTTCTTTATTTCTATTTTCTAATCCTTGCCTCTTTTTACTTGGGGGCCCTGATAACCTAATGATGTGTTGTAATGCAACGTGCTTACTTTTTGTTGTTTACTACTGCACTATGAGGCTTGGAAAGAATGAGTTTTGTGCTTTGTATGTGTAAGATAGCATTTCCTTTCTTTCATCTGGGTTGTTTTAGCAATACATTTTTTATTTCCTAGACCTTCCCCTTTGATATATCTATAGCCAACCTTTATCTTGCCACCTTTCCCCTTTCCTTTGCTTTTCTTTTCCCTACCTTGTCTTTTATCTTCCCCTCTGGTCTCACTGAGACCTAATCTGATTTTTCCTTTCCCATGAAGAGTTAGCATCTTTACTGTGTTCCTTCAAAATTAACAAATGAGACACCCTAGAGTATTGCTCAGTTTTAAGGAGTAGATTAGTCTCCTAGGTACTGAGGTTTATGGGGGAGGGAAGTTTTTTGTGTTTTTTTTTTTTTTAAGTTTGATTTAGATATGATCTGTTTTCTGTAACCAGTTAGGTGTTGGTTGTACCTGATGTGAATGAATTAACTTAGTTTTTGTTAGGGTCAGATAAATTGAATGTGTAAGGCTAGAACTTTCGTCTTACTCCTTTTTCTTTCACTTCTCTTTCCAAGTGAATTTCTAGCAGAATTTTAGTACTTAATTTCAATTGGGACAGTAAAATTCGTGGTATCTTTTTTTTTTTTAGATTTTATTTATTTATTTTTCCCCCAAAGCCCCAGTAGATAGTTGTATGTCGTAGTTGCACATCCATTCTAGTTGCTGTATGTGGGACGCGGCCTCAGCATGGCCGGAGAAGCGGTGCGTCGGTGCTCGCCCGGGATCCGAACCCGGGCCGCCAGCAGCGGAGCGCGAGCACTTAACCGCTAAGCCACGGGGCCGGCCCTCGTGGTATCTTATATACATACATTGGATACTCAGAAGATATGCTGAGTCTATCCTTAGACTAAACCTTATGGTATTCTCAGCCCTAGGAATAAGAATGTGGCTTTGGTCGTTGCAGAAACTGGAACAGGGTTTACACGTGACTTTGCAAATACATTAATATGAATTAAGGCCCAAATATTTCAGAATGGTGCTGTGATCCCGAGATGAAAGCCTCTTTAAGTATGAACGTTGGTGAAAAAGCTCCGTGCTTTTTTGGTGATTACAGAGTGAAATAGTGCAGCTTCTTTCTGGTTTTTTTTGTCATTTTGCTGGTTTAAACATCTTAAGTGGTGTTCGTGTTTTATTACTTGGTCATTTGTAATAAGGAGAAGGAAATTGGGGCGGGAGGTGGGGTGGATATTGACTACGTAGGTCCCTCTTATTTCTATAAACTGTTGTCTCTTGATCATGCTTTCTTGAACTTGTCTCAATTTCTAGGCCACTGCGGAACAAATTCGACTTGCACAGATGATTTCGGACCATAATGATGCTGATTTTGAGGAAAAGGTGAAACAAGTGAGTGTATTGCTAATTTGCTGTAAGCTATGGGAAAAGACATCAGGATTAAAGCATAGTTAAATAGTGTAGGTGTCTACCAGGATACTTTCTACTATAGGTATTAGAAGAATTGTGATCTGAAATATGATAGGTTAAGCCAATAAATATGTGCTTTTGTTGTCTCATTTATCATACTCTCTGGACAGTTACTTTGTTCAAAGAGCTTTTATCGTAATCTTTTTTTTTTTTTTTTT